CCATAGCGCGATACTCAGCTTCGGTGGAGGAGCGCGAGACGCGAGTCTGTTTTTTTGTGCACCATGAGATAAGATTCGGCCCCAGCATAAGGAGATACCCAGTGGTGGAACGACGATCATCTTTGTCGTTAGCCCAGTCAGAGTCAGAATAAACAGCAAGATCAAGAGAGCCTTTTCTGAACAGAAGGCCATGAGAAGAAGTACCCTTCAAGTAGCGAAGAATAAGTTTAAGGGCCAAGTAATCCTTTTCTGTAGGATTATGCATGGTCTGAGAAACTCGATTTACAGCATACTGAATATCAGGGCGAGTCACCGCAAGATAGTGTAGACCACCCACAAGGCTACGGAACAATTTTGGGTCGGAGAAGGTGGACGAGATCTCCTGGGTTGGCCGAGCCGCCATCGGAGTGACAGTGGGTTTGCAATCAGTCATGCCAGCCCGCTGAAGAAGATCAAATATGTATTTTGTCTGATGAAGCAAGATAGAATCCGCAGAGCGACGAACCTCAATGCCAAGAAAGAAATCCAGGGGGCCCAAGTCTTTGAGGCGAAAATTTTTATGCATAGCCTGAGTAACAGCAGAGATGAGGTCAGAGGAGCTCCCTGTAATAATGATGTCATCAACATGTAGGAAAACAATGACCATGCCGCGGGAGCTGTGAAAAGTGAACAGACTGGTGTCATGACGACAACACTGGAAGCCAAGTCCCTGCAAAAAAGTAGCAAAACAAGTGTACCAAGCACGAGGAGCCTGTTTAAGGCCATACAGAGATTTGCGCAGCTTGCAAACAAACTCAGGCCTATTGGGATTGATGTAGCCCGGTGGTTGAGACATATAAATATCCTCATCGAGTGTACCATGGAGAAAGGCATTGGTAACATCAAGCTGATGAAGAGGCCAATCATAGTGTAGAGCAAGAGTGAGTACCAGACGAATGGTTTGCTGCTTGACAACCGGGCTGAACGTCTCTTTATAATCGATGCCATACTCTTAATGGTACCCTTTGGCCACTAGACGAGCCTTGTGCCGAGAGATGGAGCCATCCGGATTCCATTTTATGCGATACACCCACTTGCAACCAATAGGGTCTCGACCCTTGGGTAGGGGCACCAAATCCCATGTGCGCTGTTCATTCAGAGCTGCAAATTCTTCATCCATGGCATGGCACCAATAGCTATTCTTGGAGGCTTGGTGATAGGTGTGAGGTTCAGAGGTAAGAGGAGAGGTATCAGTGGTGGTAGCAGTATAGGTTTTAGGCTTGAAAATGCCTGATTTGGCACGGGTTTGCATGGGATGGGCATTTGTTGTGGGGATCAATGCTGTCGACGGTCGACCGTGTGGGGGTGGACGGGTAATAGTATCGACCCTCTGTAGAGATTCAGAGAGGGGTTGGGAGGACGGTCGACCGTGGGGTGGGGAACGGTCCATGTGGTGAACCGTCTGTAGAGGTTCAGAACGGGTGTGAGGAAACGGTCGACCGTAGGTAGATGTATGAGGGGAACGGTCGACCGTTTGTGGAGCAGTAGCAGACGGAACGATTTGAGAACTGTGCGGTGCTGGACCCTGTGAGCCTGGTCTGGGAGGAAAGATGGGAATGATGCCTAAAGGGTTAGAGGAGGCTGGGGTAGATAGAAGTTTAGAGTAGGGAAACTGATCTTCTACAAAACGAACATGACGGGAGACATACGTTTTCTGAGAAATAGGATCATAACACTTGTAACCTTTCATGGTGGGATGATAACCTAGGAAAATGCAGGGGGTGGA